AGGAGAAAAATGTGAACTTTTGGAGGAAATATTGAAAAAAAAAATTGTAAGTATACCACGCGAACACAATAGGATGTCTTTTAAAAATAATAATTTAATGAAAAAAACTTTTCTATGTTTCAAAAAACATGAAAAGTCAGTTTTATTAATGAGTAATCAAAGAATTTGAATTTTTTTGTAAGAATTTTTTTTTCAATAAATTATTATTTTTCAGGAGTCCTAATGCTTTTACTTATCAATGAATAGTGTAGCTGTCAGTTGGACAATTGATTTGTTGAAAAGCTGCAACTATTTTTTTAACGGAACATGGCTTCCAATTATAGCTTTCTGTGATAAAAAAATTAATTACAAATCTTCATTGCATATAGCCCGGACTAGTCTTTATTCCTCTTTAAATTTCCTCAAAATTATACCCATTATATATCGATCTCCGATACGTTGTTATTGAGTCATTAAATAACTTTCTATGTGGTCACAAACTCTAATCACCCAATTTCCACGTCAAAACACTGACTATAGGTGTTTACTATCCTCGGTAATATTACACTTGGGTAAAAATGCCTTATTTTGTGCCATATTTAAGAAAACATTTGCATTGTATATCCCCATGCATTCTTATAAAATTGAATTACAGAGACTAACTAATAGGGGAGAGTGGGGTAATTGCGAACACCTAAGGAAGAACTGAAATAAAACAAAAGTAGTTAAAGTTATGAATGTTATTTATTATTGAAAGTTTACTTGAATCAATAAAGCTTAAGATCTCATAGTCAACATGGATGAATCTTTAATAAAAAATCAAATATTTATAAATAAACAAAACATTGGTTTCCAGGATTACCCCACAGCACGTGGGGTAATTACGGATAGTGTGAAATCTATCATTATTTAAATCACAGATAAATCCTTTTGATGAACTTTCACTGATCGTAGAGTTTTCGTAAGCCCTAGAGATTACATTCGTTACATTTTATCCAATCGTCATTGAGAGGATCTTCATGCTTTTCGTCACAATGTTAGATACCTATTCCATTTTACTCAAAAATTACGTAAAATTGTTGAAAAATAATGAAGTCAACATATTTTGTACATCGAGCGTGTTATCACTTTACTACGGTTTGTCAGGCTTTGCATTCGGGATTGACTTCCGATTGCATCACTGGAAATATGTTTCCACCCCTTCTAACATAGCTAAACATGGATGTCTGCGATTACCCCGCGTCCGTGTTTACCCCACTCTCCCCTATATTGTTCACCGAGTGAACAATGTATAATATTCTGACGTAGGTGTAGAACTGTCACGGCGGCGAACACCCAGATCTACCTTATAAGGATGGTTTACTTCGCTCCAGTAGTCCAAATATTATTTTTATTCATTTCATCATAAAAAGTTAAAACTTTGTTTCCTTTTTAAGGTTACAATTATGATGTTTTCTGTTTTGCTAAGAAAGACAGCATCACACCAAAAACAGCCCTAACGGACTTCACAAAAATACGCGCCAAGTATGAATAACGAAGACGATAATCATCGTTCATCAAGTGCGATCTCTATAAAACTTCTTTATGTGAACAACTACAAAAATGCATGAAATCATTGCAGCCAAGTATTTGAACATAAAGATTAATTATATTTAATAAAATAAAATAGAAATGTTTTTTAATTTTCGTTAAATTATTATGTAATTTTTTACATAAATTAAAGACAAACTCTTTATAATGAGATAAAAAAAAATTCAATACATGAAGAAAGTTGACAGCCTTATTACGTTTTAAAATTTTGAAAATAGAAAAAAAAATTGAATTAAAAACAAAATTTCTCTTTTTTTATAAAAATTTATTTAAACACAATTAACTTGGCGTGGCTCTTACAGCTGTAGATAAAACTATAATTGATTAGATGGTTCATATAATCGATAGCCACGCCAAGTTAGTTGTGTTTAAATAAATTTTTATAAAAAAAGAGAAATTTTGTGTGATTTCACGATTTTTTGTACAACAAATGGAATATATATTATTCGACTCCGTTACTACGACATGGAATTTTAGAACAGACATCACTATCTGTGTATAGATTGTACAGTACCAGACATAAATGCTGTTCACTTTTTTAAGGGTTCTACAGGCGATTTTCCTATACCGTCCTATAGAAAATCACACAGCATTTATGTCCGGTACTGTATAATAGTCTTCAGTCTGGTAGTATTTAACTATCAACTCAATAAAAAAAAAATTGTTATCTTTTACCGATCTTGAGATATAAACAAAATTATTGATTGAAGGACATGAATTAGTTTTCAAAAAACGTAAAACGATTTTTTTTAAAACGTAAAACCATCGGTAATACATTCTATGTATTACCTATCAACTTAAAATGTACATAAATATTTGTCGTTTTCGATACCGAAAAACTCGGTCGGCATAATACGGACACGGCATAATGACAGCGCGGAATGTACGATCGATCGTCGCGCATAACATCCACGCAGGTTCAGAATTAGAAGCGGCACCTTAAATTTTTCGGCATATTAGATTTTTGCGCCTTTTCTGATTTTAACTTATGAAATCTAAAAAGTAATAAGTGAGGAGATGTAAGTAAAACAATTAGTGCAATAATTCATATGAGCACATAAATTTTAGTTCTATTCTTTAAATTTTTCCTCCTCTCTTTTTCTTCAATTTAGTAGGATACAATTTCTCTTCTATTGCATTCCCACCATCAACTTTTTTCATGAGAATTTCCTACAAATAAAAGAAAAGAAATACTTATTATGTTCAATTTTTAATTATTGTGATGAAATGCAAAAAATAGATTAGCTACCTTACTTATCATTTATGAGTCACTTAATTTTCGTTAAACATTATAAAATAAATAACAATCTCTGGACTTTGTACACTTTGGTTTTCTTTAGGGGGAAATTGACCGTTCAGAATGAAGTCGTAAGTAGACAGAAGATTCATGCTGCATTCACATGAGAGTGAATCAAAAGTCAACAGAATAACTATTTGAATTCTTCTGTAAATCTATATTTAGAATTTTCCCAAAAACTTAATTCAAATAAAAAGTAATTTTGAAAAAAATTATTAATAATTTTAACACAATTTTAACTGTTGCGTCTTTAATGCCTTATACTATTGTACTGGAGCGACATTTGTACCAGAATTATACTGTCCTGAACATTTTGGTCATATAACATTTGTGCCCCTTTCGAAATGTGCTAGCAGTAAATTTACAATGTTGGTGGAGTAGAAACAGTTTCAACCGTTCATTGTGTTTATTTATTCAATGATCCTCTAGTACATGTATTTATTGGATATAAAGTATATTCATTATGATTAGTAGAATATTCATTGATTATTTTTTTTATATTTTTTTATTTATTTACCAAAAAAAGTATATTTTTAAATTTATCTGTACCTCAAAATTATAAAAAATTCAAAAACACATGAAAACATGATTTTAAATCTACTTAATTTTCTCCTAATATTTTTAATAATTTGTCAAACCCTTTTCTTTTCTTTTCCAACTTCTCTTCTTCTTCTTTTTTTCTTTTTGATGTGTAATATCTGGAAAAAGACATTGAACTATAAAATGACAATGTTCATTTGGTTGTACTTTACTTCATTGTTATTGCAATAAAATAACCTTTACATTTTGTTTCGCAGCTTGAGATTTTTCCCTCACCAGCGCTAAAAGAACATTTATTGAAAGATGGTTGTTTTATTTAAGTAATAGGTACACGGTATATCCCCAAATTGATACACTCCCCAAAACTTTATTACTTTTTATTAATTTTTTATACCAAAAAAAATTTACATTCATAATTTGGCGCCTCAGTAATTCTTTCGTTTTTTACCAACATAATATTTTCCATAGTCATGCAGCAACTTCATGGTAGTACCAACTTTATAAAAAAAAATCGTACTTTTAAGGAAAAAGATTCTTTTTACTTAAAATGTGGTCCAAGGGGCGTGGCCAATTTTTTTTTTGCAAATAAATGATTTTCAGGACACAATAGTAATTGCAATTTATTGTCGTAGCTAATCAATGGGGTTTTCAAAGATTTTTTAATAAAGTTTATGTCATCATTGCAGAGAAATTAGAAATTTAAAGGAGCGTAACCTCAAAAGTGCTAATTTGAGCGGAATAGAGACACGGTAGTGCCTTCGTCACTGCTATTCATACTTGGCGCTCGAGACACTACTAAAATAAACGTGTCTCTTGATATGTCTGCGCTTATAAACAGACGATTTCTCGTTATTCAATTCAGGATAGAATACGTCGCTTTGTTGACTAATAATGGAGACAGAATTCTAATTCCAAAATTCTAAAATATGATTTTCCTCGAGGAAAATATTATTTTCTAGTAAAGTCTTCTAAAAATTCACATAATGTATTTTTATAGACTCATAATAAGCTAGATTATAAAAACCTCGGGGAAAATTTTTCTTATATGACCGTATATGAAACATATAAGATCATATATCTTCCACATACGATCCACATAAGGTTATATACAATTATATAAGAAAATTTTTCTCGGGAATATAATTATTAATTTTTGATTAATTTTTGTAGAAATATTAAAGATTCACAAAATGGAGTTTAATAAGTAACATAGTTAGCTATAATGTAATAATACTTACTCTCTGAAATCAAATCAGGGAATAGTTACAGGTTACCAGTGAATATTGACTGATGCTTATAGTGCCAATCATATGACTGAGAAACAGTCAAAATCTACTTAACAAACCAGTAATTTATAAAAATACTGAAATACAAATTAAAAATACTGAATTAAACAGTTATTATTATACTGATTAAATCAGTAAATTCATTTATATATTTTATATGAATTTAGTAAAAATTTTAATGCATTAATGATTTTAGTTAAATTCGCAAAAAAAGAGTATCAAAAAAATGAAGTTTTCAATATTTCTTTGTTGGAAATTTTAAAAATTTATTTTAATATTTATTATGAGTATACATATATTATCAAACTTTCTATGTTTTATTAATCTTAATCAGTATTAATATTAATATTCTTCATATTAACATGAAGAGAAGCAACTACATTATGAGGCTTTATGTCCATTTTATAAATATATACGGCCATGAAATTATAAAAATGGTCCAACTTATGAGGAAATTCCACATGTAGCACATAAAAGAGTTTAAAAAGAATATCGAAGGCAGTTATCAAATCTGCATTGTCAGGGATCTCAATAATCCATTCGTCTCCCTGGATAAAAATATGACGAAGACCTTGACCATTTACCATAATCATGTATGGCTGAACATTTTCAGTTGCTTTATTTCTAATATCAGCCACATAATTTGATATATTAATATTTTCCTAGAAATAATGAATCTTGGTGAGCATGGAAAGTAATTGAAGTGTTAAAATTAGATACAATATTTACTCAAGAACTTACTGATATGATTCGTAGTAAATAAGGGTTCGGAAAATCTACACCAGGTGTATTATCTTCTTCATTATCTGTTTCCTCAAGAGCCTAATATTTAAAAAAATCGAGATCGTTCCATATTGAAATAATAAAAATAAATATAGCGAAATAGTAATTTGTAACTTTAGATGAAAATATTTATTGCTCCAAAACTCACTCTCTTTTTTCCCTTTCCTTTAATTCTATTACTAATAATAGAATGCTCTGTTAAAAATTTCAATACGCACCATTTTCTATAATTTTGGATTTTTTAAATAGTTCAGATGAAAATTGTTCAGCATAAGCGATAATTCGCTTTGTATAAAATGTTGGGAATTTTAATGAAAAATTGTTTGCTGAATCTTTGAACATTTTTTGAACGACAATCAGATGATTAGAAAGACCATTTAGAGAACCAGGAACACGTTCATTGCACATATAACAATTTAAGTTCACCATGATGGATAATAATATCAACTGAATTTCTAAATACCGGTGGGAATTCTGCACGGAGAGAAAAATCATATAATTTTTGTAGAGAAAATTTCAGAAAAATTACCATGCTCTCTTATAATGCGTGCGCGATCGACGACCAAAGTAAAAAGTATTTTACGATCATGTAAATATTATTAAATTGAAACGTAAATATTATCAAATTGAAACATAAAGAGTATTAGTCATGGCTTCATAAAAATTGTTGTGCTGGCATGGTAAAATTTAATGTGCTGTATTAGAAAACTTCCTTATCGATTTAGTAAAATTTCTAAGTATGCTTAACAATATTTATATATCAATGTATTAATTTCTCTACAGCTTATTATTTATTTTTGATTCAAAAAAAGGCTGTAACGTAAAAAATTAATAATGTTTTTTTGATTTAGGGAAATTAAGGAATCGCGGTTGAATTTGATAATGATAAAACACTTTTATGAATTATTAAATATATCTTTATTTTAATTAAAACCAATTTTTGAGAATAAATTTCGCACCATTAGATGCTCTTACAAGATTCGTAATCTTAAAGCTAAATAGGTCATCCAAATTTAGTACATCCCACGTATACTGATCGTTGTACAATCGATAACATTCAGTTTTTTCGTAGAGGAATGTACTTATTAATTTTTTAACAATAAGACATACTTTAATATTGCTACAAACTATAATATTATCTACTTTGTAAAAAATAGGAGCATCTTTATGGCACTTGGAGAACTGTTTCTAATTGTCTATCTTTTTCAGTGCTGAGTATAAGTCTGCTGAGTAAATTTCTTAAGGTTTTCTTCAAGCATCCATTATCTCGATAATATTTTAAAACACTTTTGCCATCAGCTGAATTTAATAAAAGTTGGTATATAGGCTGTAAAAAAAATTTTTAAATATAAATTATTTGTCCTTTGTTCAAATAGTTATTGATCATAAGTTAATGACACTCACGTTGTTGATAATTTCTGGACGTTCAAAATGCCCTTGTAAATCCTGTAAGATAAAACTATCTAAAAATTGAGAAAGAACACAATTGACTAGTAATTGAAAAAAATGACAACGGTTAAAAACACTGGAAAATGACTACTTTACTACAAAAACCATCATCTTTTGATCACTTATAATTAACGAAAGAAAAATTTTTCAATTTTAATAAATAAATCCACTATTTCACTAACACTGTTAACACTTTTGCACTTTACAAAAATTGAGTTTGAACAAAAACTGATTCGATATTTTTAATTGTTGTCATTTTTTCGACAAGAAAAGGCTTAGAAGTTGTGTTGTGGGAGTTAGACTATTTAGTATGAACTACTTACCATTTTACTGTAAATAAAAAATAATACCAAAATCAGTTAATTATTTAAGAAATGAATAATAGATATTATGAATGTTAAATATTAGTTGTTATTAAAGTTTGTGAAAGATTACTTACGTCGTTACAAAATGACGCACTTTTATGTGTCACTGTATAATGTATCACTCTCTATTGATAACACAGTCAATTACGCACTGAGGAACAATAAACGTATTCAAACCTGCTTCGAAAAACTTCGAAGATGCCCGATCTTTTCCGACCTTCGATTCTTTCTTATGTTAATAGCAGAATGCACGTTGTTTTAACTTAATAGTAGAATATTTCGAAAACTATGAATCCGAGATCTAGACATAATGCGTACAATTTTTAGAAAATCGCTTTACGAACAAAATGACCCCTTATAGGCTTCTCTACGATTAATAGTTAATGAGATATCATTTTTTTTGTTTAAAATAATTCTCATGCTCAACAGCGTTGATACCTTCTTTCTCTTTCTTTCTTTCTACTATTAGCAGATAGCATTTGAAAAATTATAAGACAGCATGGTAAAATATATTAGTTCGTCTAGGACTCTATGGCAGCTTAAATAGTAATTTTTGTAAGAAAAACAATCAAAAAATATTTTTCTGTCGGGAATGGAACTTTTTACTGTGCTGTTTTACAAATTTTACAAAGCTGAATTTTAAGAAAGAATATTTTATCCTTTAAATTTTCTATGATTAATTATAATTTTTATATTTTTGCCGTACAAAATTGACTATGTTCGGCTTTCACACGTCGATTGTAGTGCTGAGCACAGTAATTTTTCTATGAATTTTCTCTCCGTGTGGAAATTCTATTTAATTGAAATACGTTATTTGAAGAAGTTTTTAATTAATTTTGTTCAACACATGTAAATCACTTATTGATTAATGATCAATAATCAATGGAATTTTCTGCCATTTCTCCACCTGAAGCAATAAACTGTTTATTATATAAATCGATATATTGAAGCAATTCAAAGATTTTTTTTAATCGAAAGCGTGCTATTTCATCTAATTTGTTCCATGAAAAATACTTGAATTCAAAAATTATAGAGGTTAAATAAAGATAGGAATCAAGATTTGTAAGTACAAAATATTTTGTACTACACAGTGAAAAAAATCAATTAGACTTATATCATACAATTTCTAGAAAACAAAGAGTATTCAGAGACAAAAATTAATGAGAAATATGAAAGATTGTGAGTAAGATCTTGGTAAAAATAAAAATGGATTTATTCAAAAAACAGTGACCAACTGGTAATTATTTACCCACAAAATAAAAACAGCAATTAAATAATAACATAATTTACTTTCGTAGCTATATACCTTATAAAATATTTAATGTTTCTTCATCTGCGATATACCCTTTTAATTTATTCAGCAAGTCACCAGTTGACAAATCACAAAAATCAATGTCCATGGTAATATAAAAAATATAATTGTCAATAATTTTAAATTTAATTCTCTAAAACAAAAAAAATGTTAAAACAATAAAGAATAAAAATGTTGTAATTATTTACTGTATACTGAATCAATGCATTGACATGAAAATCGATTTATTTTTATTTGACATCAAAACCTAACCTATACTTCAATCGATTTGTATCATATTATTCTTAATACATTAACAATGTTATAAGTCAGATAAATCCCCAACTAGACAATTAATTTATTACGTTCAGTATACACTGTAAATTAATTCTTCTCACTATATAGTATAAATAACCAAATATTTAAATAAAGTAGAACTAAGAAAAGAGTAGTTTGGTCGGAAAACTTCGGCTGTATCCCCACTCTATTCACAGTGACTAAAGTCCCGTCTGCAGAATTACTACTTTTATAAATGAATTATTCCGCCAGCGCGCGTTTCAAAAAACTGTAATAGTAAAAGTTTAATTAAATTTACATATAAAAATATATTTTGATGAATTTATTGATAGACGTATGTTGAAGAAAGGAGTAGTTTTAAATTATTAATTTTTTTTTAATTATTATAAACATTTTATCTATATTATTAGACTCTAATAAAATACCATAAACACGAATGTCGTTGTGTTCATTTCATATAATTTTTTTTTCTTCGACTAAATAATTCTTTCATGAACTATGACAGCAATAAATATTAACTAAATAATATATACTTTAATACAATGAGATATATTTAAGTTTATAAATTGTTTCTCGAAATTTACAAGCTTCTAATCTAGAATAAAAGAAGAGGAATCATTTAGTCTCACTGTTCTTTAATTGTCTTATTAATATATCATACTATTTAATACTAACCGAAAAATTTTAGCTTCTGGAGTTTGAATTTCGTCAGCATGACGTTGGAAAATAATCAACAGAGTTTGCTGATTTTCTCTCAATGTATTTTCTCATTCAGTATCTTGTTTTCTCAATCCTGTTACTTGAATTTCGCGTCTTGCTAGTTCTTGAGCAAAATGTAACAATGGTAGTGGACTGCTGTCAACTACGAGCATTGCCGATACAAAGTCTGTCATTGATTCGGAGGATTTTTCCGATTCTACTGATGATTTATCAAAATTAAAAAGTAAATTATCTTTATTCATTAACATTGCACGAATAGAAGACTTCAAAGTTTTAATTTCTTCATTCACCATTTTTAAAACTTTTGCTAGTTGTTCAGCTGCTATTACTCTTTTTCGTTCTTCATAAATCAGCTTCTTTTAATTTATTATTTACTGTTTCAAGCTCAGCTTCAAGTATTTTACTTGTAGTTTTATTATTAGATTGTTTTATTAATTTCTTCAGTTGATACTCTAATGATTGTTTGGTACGTCTTTCATTTACTACGAGTTTTTGTAATTCTCTAAAATATAAAATTACTTACATTTTTTAATATTTCGATGAAATCATGCCTTCTTTAATACATTACTTGATTATGGCTAAATTATCTGCTTCCTCTTTTTCTCTGTCATGATGTTCCATAATAAGTTTGTATTTGATATGTTCTATTTCTGAATTCACATATTGTTGAGTTTGTTTTAATTTATCTGTTAAGTCTTTTATAACCTTATCACACTAAAACAAAAAATGATTGAAATATTTCAAAACAATTTACAATTATTCATAGCATACCTCTTCACGTTCGGTTCTTAATTGTCCCCTGTCAGTTTGAAAATGTGCTTCCATACGAGATTTTGCAGATGATAGAGTAGCTAATGAATCACTACTTAATTCAGGATTTAATCTAAATGCTTCGACATTGAAGTCTGGACTAAAGTATATATTCCCAGTTAATTGAACACTGGTAGTCAATTTAGGAATAGCAGACTCAATATATTCTGTATAAACTATTTCAATAAAAACAACGAATTTAATAACTTGCAATTCTGAATTTATTATTTTCTAGTATTAATTATTTACCAGATGAACGATGAGAACCTTGACCCGATTTTTTACAGAATTTCTGTAAAGAAGATATGCTTGATGAATGAAGATTATCTGTTGCCAGAGTATGAACAGTAGATCCTGCAGGTGTATTACTAGTCATTGAATTAGGACTCTATATATCCTCGGGTTTAAATTCAGGTCATGAAGAAAATTTTACTTGAAACTTCACTTGTTCAGGAACTCTATCAATTACAATTTAAAACGATATTATTTTATTGTACAACAATCAATAAACGATAAATTATTCAAGAATATAGCGAATTACCTATCCATCCCATCACTAACGCTCTTCTTAAAAAATGTTCCTTTTTTGTTAGATGGTGAAGGAGATGGAAGAGATTCATTGAAGTTATCTTGTTGCTGTGTTTCTAGATTAGTTGTATTTTTTTGCCGATTGTCAAAAAGTTGAGATGTAGATGCATGTTCTGCACATGATACAGGCGGAGCCATGGCGGCTCAATAATTTATGGAATAATTCTAAGAAATTGATTTTATAATAATCAATTTAAAATTAATAAAACAAGTTACCTAATGACTGTCTTCGTTGGAACGGAGCACGACCAAGTTGAGAAGGTGTTGGGGCAAGCATAAATGTACCTTTAATTTGACTAGTGTAATTATTTCTAACAATAGGTCCCTTCATTGTAAAGGAAATACATGGTGTTAAATGATTGCCACTCTGACTGATTGTAGTATGGAATGTATGAGGTGTGTGAGGAGTATAGGCCGTAGATGATGATTAATTATATTGCTGTTTTCCACTTCCTATGGTAATCGAGTCATTGGCGTCTTTTCTTTCTTACTTGTTCTACTTTTAGATTATTACTTATTAAAAATAATTGTATTTCGTCACCATTTCTGTATGAAAAACAACATAAATATTAGATACTTACCACAATATTGAAGATGATTTGTTGATGACAAATTTTCTTTTTTTTCTGATTCTGTAAGTCGTGTAATTGAATGACCAATTTCACGATTATTAGTCGGTGGTGGATTGGAAGGATTAGAATTAACATTGACGTGAGTTTTTGTCACGATAACACTTGGCGTTTCTACTTTACTAGTAGTAACAAAATTTTGTAGTGATACATTTGAAGCTCCGACATCTAAAAGAAAAAATAATAAAACGGAATTTAATTTTTTCAACTTTTTGACAATTATAATTGAATTTTAAAAAAATCATATTATTCTTACTAGCAATAGGAATCTGCAAACCAGGCATAAAAATACATTGATGTTGAGAATTTGGTTCGAGATACTAGGAGTCTTGTGGCTGCTGTGAAAATGCCACCAAATTATTATTGAGAACTCTAAGAGTAAGCGGGGGTTGATAGGAAGCGATTGATATTTGGGGACGATGGGTAGTACTTGAAGTCTGCAAAAGCTGTTGCTTGAGCACAGCCATCATCAGTTTAGATCCAATCTGTTAGTATTGGTTTTATTTTTGTTACTTATATTACTAAATATAATCTGACTTGTATTGACAAAATTATTGTTTAACAAATTGGAAACTAAAATCGTTATTTTCTTTCGTAAAGTTATTTCGAGAAAAAAAATTTCGATTTAATGTTATTTATTTTAGCCCTTACCGCGTGTAAAACAGATGCAGACATAAATTTAGACACATTTCTACCATTTCCATTGTAAACATTTGACACTAAATTGTTCACACTATACTGTGTAGAAAATTTCAGTAGGATTCACAGGATTGTGATAAGGATAAGTAGATAATACTGATACAGTGCTTCCTTTATCCATTATCCATAGTTTCAGTACCTATTGAATTAAAAGATATCCATAATATACTTATTTAACAATAAAAATTTGACACTTCATTGATATCAATGAAAATATAATAACCTTTAATTGATTTCTGAAGTAATATGCAAACCTTCTCGATTTTGACCGCTAGTAGGTGAATATCTCGATTGATTAATCGACATCAGATGCATTACCGTCCTTTTCTTATGTCACCGTATCAGAGTTATCGGTCTGTATTTGATGTTAGTGTACTTATTGAGATACAATTGTCTAATTGATGTTACTCTATTATATAATAAACAATGAGTATTATGTTAAAAGAAAAAAAAATTTTCTAAAATTTAAATAGATTTATTTACCTTCATATTTGTTGTTTCATTATAAACTGCTGCAACAGAAACATAAATTTCATCAGTGGCATGTGGAGTTAATGGTACATCTACACTGGGTGAACTACCAGTATCAGTTTCCTCACCGGTACTGTTTAATTTAGATCTAGTTTCATTTCCTTTAAAACTTGTTGTTGATGATTTTCGTCTATCTTTACTACACTGCTTTCAATCTGGATGAGCTTTAACATGAGCTTCTTTTACTTCTAATGCCAAATCATAATATTTTTGTTTTTCTTCAGCTCCCAGTGTATACCACCATTCACCAAGAATCTTTGAAACAATTCGATTGTCTTAATTAGGGTGTCTCTGATGTTCAACTGCTCGATGGCGCTTTGAAAATATCATGAATGCATTCACAGGATGTCTTATACGATCTTTAGTTTGTAAAAATAAAAATAATGATATTTATAATAAATTTTTTTCAACTTACAGTGAAATCGATTTCACGAAATTTCGGAATTGACTTACTTTTAATGGACTTTGAGGTTCTTCAGTATGTAAAGAAGTAAAAGATTGACTACGACGTTTATTTGAATTATTATCTACTTCAGCAGGAGTAGTTGGTTTAGTACTATCAAAAACATCACCATCTTCTTTCCTAACCGGAGTTATTGGATCTGGTACAGGACACGTAAGTTGTTGTTCTTCACCTGAATTTCCAGTACTAAGTAGTATAGGTGGAGCACTAAGAGGCGGACTCAATGCTGATGGTGGTGGACTTTCTTCAGGCTAGTCTACCACCACGGTTGTCTGGTAGGAAAAAGCTGCAATAAAATTTCGGGGTTAATCATAATGAAATGCGGTTAGTAGTGTACAGTAAAAATAGCAATTTAATAATAGATTTTTTTATTAAAATTAAAGATGAAGATGATAGACAGTAAACACATAAACCCACAGGAAACACTGCTATACATCTGAAGAATATCGAGCTTTTTTCGCTGTTTTATCGCCAAAAATGACAAAAAATCTTTCATTCATTACATTTTAATTCTAAAAAGATCTATTGCAAATGTTAAATTTGAAAAAAATTAGAAAATTAAGTATAAAGAATCATGTAAAATCCCACAAATGACATTAACAAATTTCTATGAAATTGAGAAAATTCAGTTATAAATATTCTTCAGTATTTTATCCAAGTAACAATACAGAAGTCACTTTCAATCAATAACAAAGAATCACAAGCCAATATATCTGGCTCAATAAAAAAAGTTTCAG